TGGGGAGGAGAACAACTGGAGTAAAACCAGGACAACCTATTGCACATTTAGCAAAATCTTTTCATGTATTTTGTGTATGAATATTTGTACTATGCACAGGCTGCATTTTCTGGCTAATTTTTTTCTTCCAGATAAATGAGCAGCGATACCAACAATTCACTGCAAAAAAATATACATTGCTGCATGCCTCACTTGCATTGTCTGATTTGTGTTCATCTGTGTACAAAATCCTGATTCAGAAAGCTGAATTTGGCATTAGCTGTTTTAGAAGTACTGATGACAAAAATACAATGTGTCATGAAAACCTTTGAATTGGGGGTTTTGTGTAATGTTACTTTCTACTTACAATGCTAGCTTTTTTAGACTGGGTTGTTTTCTCCTGTCACCGCTATCATGCCTAATAAAGTGGGGTTTCTGCCCCAGCTGTGTACTGCTAAATAAGGAGATAGAAGGTTTCACCCTCTGTGGTAAAGAGCAGGAAAACAGAACCATTTTCCTTGGAAAAGAGCAAGTTGCTCCTGTCAGTGCCTATGTACCAAACTGAAATGGTTCAATCTCTTTCAGGAGTCCAGCCCTGGGGTCATGCCAGGTTCTCCACAGTCGCCACCACCAGACACTGACTCCCTGGACAAACCCAAGCTGAAAGCTGGTGGCTCAGTAGAGAGCCTGAGGAGTTCCTTAAGCGGTCAGAGCTCAATGAGTAAGTGCACTTGTAATCACATTGCTCCATTTTTGTGGCTTCAGGGAGCAGAGATCTCCACAGTAAGCAGAATCAGAGAAAGTCAAAGCAGAAACAATGGTTACAAAGCAGAGGCTGATGGGTTAGTTATTGAGGGTTTACAAAGGACTAAGCTCTTTGGTGCAGAGAAGATGGGGTTTTGTTTGCCTTGTGTTTATACAGATCCCTGAAAAAGTGAAATCCTACTTTCTGGCTGGGTCTGCTGGGTCCTGCTATTATAATGTCAATTATTGGAGTGAGAATTACAATCCTCAGCCAGTAGTAAACAGGCTCATCTTTACACTGGGTTTCACCTGGGCACTCCTGATGGGCTTCCCACTCTCCCTCCAGAGAAACTTTAAGATTCTCTCATTAACTAGTTACTGGAGGAGTACCATTTAAAACCTCTCTGGTTAAGATTGTCTCTAGACAAAACAGACCTTAAATGGAATACAGATGCCTTGAACTTGCTTCACTATTCACCAAATTTCTAGACCTGAGAGGGATTCTGAAACCCTCATGCAGGATTCAGAGCTTATTTTCCTCACACCACTATGCTTTTTTTGTGAGTAAAACTTCCCAGAAAGATGACATCTCCTCCTGTGTTGTACTATAGATGAGACACTAATTAAATATCTTATCAGTTAAATATTGGGGAGCTGAATTCAGGAAAACAGGAGTGCAGAGTAGATTAGCTAACTCTCCCATCACATGTATGTATAAGAAATAGCAGCATTTAAGGACTTTAAACTTCGATTTACCATGTTTTGTGGAAAGAAGACCCATTTTCTGTCTTGCCTCTGTATCTGAGTCTTTTTCACAAAGACCTTTTTTTGTGAACTGATACTATGTCCTTCACATAGGTGGTCAGACAGTGAGCACAACAGATTCCTCAACCAGCAACAGGGAGAGTGTGAAATCAGAAGATGGTGATGATGAAGAGCCTCCTTACAGAGGACCTTTCTGTGGAAGAGCCAGGGTTCACACTGATTTTACTCCAAGTCCTTATGATACAGATTCTCTGAAGCTCAAGGTACCAGCTACATCTGTTTTTAAGGGGTCAAACATTTATTTTGGCAAAATGCTAAATTAAGAGCTCTTTGCAAGAACTACAGAATTTTTAGTCTTTTGATGGATTGTGTTTTTTGAAGCCCTTTAACCTGTCTTACTCTGATACATTTAAGATTTGCTTGAATTATAGCAAAATGTTATAGAACATAATTAAGTACTAATGTTTCTCCATGTCCAGGGAAGAAATTTGTGTCTTTAGTTTCTGGAAAAATAAAAATGTGCCACAAATTCATTTGCATTTTACAAGAATTTTGTTTGAAAGATTAGAAAAATACTGTCTGCCACAATGAAATAATCCTCAATGGAAAATTTTTCAAAACCCTTGGAAGAAATGTGCATGCACCTGCACAGTGTCTCTTAAAGGCATTTCAGTTAATATAACTGGTTTGGGTTAATATTGAAATACTTTGCTGACTGGTCACGCTCCTTTAATTTTTCTGCATATCAGCTTTTGTTATTTTTAGTTGTGCTGTATTCGGTTCAAACTGACTCCTTACATTCATCACTTAAAATTCCAAGGGCAGTTAATTCCTATTAAAGCAGATGTATGTAAGGTAATCTTTTTAGGCATACAAAACCAGTTGTGCATCCATTTCTTTGTTAGGGTTAGGAGCACATTAGGAAAAGCAACATGGTTGCACAGTCACTTCAACATAAGCCTCCTTTGCTCAGGAGATCTGATGTGAGATTGTGCTCACATACACTGAGCACATTCTTGTTTACACCAGTGTTGGATGGTTGCATAGCTTGGAGATATTTATACAAAACAGCAGCGGTGCTCTACAAAGCTGTCATGGAAACCCAAGAGTGTGTGTTTGCTTAAGTATCAATCAGAAAACATGATTAAATGGCTTTCCTCCTGCTTTGGTCTGCAGAAAGGTGACATCATTGATATAATCAGCAAACCCCCCATGGGCACTTGGATGGGCCTGTTGAACAACAAAGTTGGTACTTTCAAGTTTATCTACGTGGACGTGTTAAATGAAGAGGAAGAGAAGCCGAAGCGGCCCACCAGGAGACGTCGGAAAAGCAGACCACCCCAGCCCAAGTCAGTTGAGGATCTCTTGGATCGCATCAATTTAAAGGTCCAAATTCTCTCACTCTCTGTTTACCCTTCACTTTTGCTTGTGGGAAGGGGGCCACACCTTTGGAGTCGTTAGTTTTGAAAGCTGCGCACCAGATTCATAATCCTAAGGATTGTGGTACCACTTAGCAGAATCAGGTCTTAGCTGCAGAGTGAAAATAGCTGAGGCCAGGCAGAACTGCCTGTCAGCTTTGATGAAATGCTGCAGGCTGCAAGTTGTGTGCACTCAGACACCGTAAATCGTTACATAGTGTGGCCACTAGCTAACACGCAAGCAAAAAGTGTAAAATAACAATAGTCACCCTGTCTTTAAAGAGGATGTTTTCTTCTGCATTTCTGTTCAGAATTGCTAGGGATAAATTGGTGTGGCTGTCACTCACCCTTTGTACTTCTCCCTTTGTACAGACCTGTGCCATATTGTGCATTCAGGTAGCATTGTACTCAGGCCATCTAATACAGTGCATTCCAAATACAAAAATATATGCAGTTCTGGCACAGCTACCTCCCTGAACTCTGAGCAGTGTTTATATGAGCTACAGTACTATATTTTGCTATTGTACACTGGTTAGCATTTGCTTAACTACTGCTTTTTTTGCTGGTTGCAAAAATCTCTTCAAGTATCTTTATTGACAAAGTAAGTTGAATAAGTATGTTGTCTTACAGCTCTTCTTTTTCTTTTTGCTTTTTTTTGCAGGAGCACATGCCTACTTTTCTATTCAATGGTTATGAAGATCTGGATACTTTTAAGCTTTTAGAAGAAGAAGATTTGGATGAACTGAACATCCGAGATCCTGAGCACAGAGCTGTTCTCCTCACAGCAGTGGAACTTCTACAGGAATATGATAGTATGTGGGATGTTTGAGGTTTTGTGTTCTACTAGAGCTCTGCCAAGAATCTTGCGAACTTCTTAAAGCAGAAAACTGGTTACAGGATTTTGATATCTTTTTTTTTTTCCCTAATATAGTTATTTCCAGGGTAATCCTGTGTAACAGCTCAGATTTTTGAGGAGTGACTTAAGACTTGCATTTGTTCTGCTGGAATTCTTCTGTTCATGTAAACCCTGCCACCCAACTTATTCAACTCACATCAAGTGTACAACACATAATGTGTTAGAACACCAATGTTCAGGAATAAATCCTGAGATAACTTACTCAAAATAAGAGACTGAGACATGGAGAATAGGAAAGAAGAAACTTGTAGACTAGAGGGAAGAGATTAAGATTGTCAAGGGTAAGAAAAAGATCAAATCCCAGAGGGTTGTGGAGAAGGGCAATGTCAATTAATTTTGCCTGCACATGCACATGATTCTTGGACTGTGAATTGCAGGATTGTACAGGTAGCTTCAGGTTGACAACACAATGATTTTTCAAAGGGAACAAATATATCAGTCAAGTGCAAAGAGCGAAGATGATGAGTGACCCACCTATCTAATACGCAGCAGTGCAGTTTTGCCCACAGTACATGTGGTCTCAGGCAAGTGGTTGCAAAGATGAGGGAAAGCAGAGTAAGCCATGGCAGTCGAATTTGATGGTGTCTTTGCCTCACAGGAGTAAGCAGGGCCTAGTTCCAGCAACCTGAGACAGTAGTGAATCTCCAAGTGTCAGGAGAACTTTAGTATCCACCAAAGAGAATCAGTGAAATGGATTGTGTGAGGGCTTTCTCAGCTGCTTCTGTGCAAATTCCTGTTTTAGCTTAAACTGCCATAGCAGCAGTTTAAACAGCTGCTTATTAAGTGGGCAGTGCTTAATTCAATTATGGTGATATGTGTGGTTTGTATCTCTAGACAGTGCTGTGTGGCCTGAGTTTTCACTGACATGTAGCTTTCTTATTCATCTCCCAGAGAGGCATCCACTCTTTCTTTGCCCTTCTCTACCCCCCACTAAAGCTGCAGTTGTGGAACTAGATTCTTTCCACTTATATCACAGCAGCTTTTTGTCACCTCATATGAGCTTCTCTTCATTATTTGCAGACCTATTTAGAATGTTCACTTCCCTGAAATAATATTTTTTCAGGGCCCTTCAATTTTGGTTTGAAAACTTGAAGATGCAGTGGTTGGAAAGTACAAATTCCAGCTCTGAGTCAGGGTGATGAGCAGAAAGAGAAGTGGGGACCAGACAGCTGAAACCTGGGAGGGGCAACAGCACATAGTTCCACCCCATAATTGCTTTTCATGTGCTGAGAGTCGGTATTGGAATAGGCATTTCTGACATTTTATTGCAGGAGGAAAAAAACACAGCATAAACTGTATCCTTGCATCATGAGGTTGGTTTTCTGTATCTTCAGCTCCAGATTTAGTTTCTTTACAGAATATGTTTTTTGGCCAAACATTCTGGGTAAATTCCTGGAATCCAGCCTATGGCAGCCTGGGTGGACCACACTTGACTCTTGGCTCTTCGCACAGACCAAGGAAGGAAGGAATTGGTACCACTAGTGTTTTCCATGTCCCTTCACCCTTTGTTAGGGGACAGTATCTAATGTGCCAGACCCAATCCTGATCCTTCCTCTGGGTCCTCTGGAGTGTAGATCAGGGTTAGGATTTTATTCTTTCTTACTTGACTTGATTCTTTTCAGTCCTCTTTCCTTCCCCTTTAGGTGTTGGTGGGGGTTTTTTAAGTCTCAGAAAGATCTTTGACACCATCATGTTAAATACATTCCCATGATTGCTTAATCCTTTACCAAATAGGATTAGTGTTTCCAACATTTCATTTGTAATGGCTTTTCCTAATGCTCACTCTTTGTGGGCATATAACAGTGGTCTCTTATAATTGATACAACAGAGAAGATCATGGAATCATTGAGGTTGGTAAAGACCTTTAGGATGATCTAGTCCAACCACTTACCCAGCACTACCAAGTCCACCACTAAACCATGTCCTGGAGTGCCACATCTACATGTCTTTTAAAATACCTCTATGTATAGTGAGTCAACCACTGCCCTGGGCAGCCTGTTCTAGTTCCTGACCAACCTTTCAGTGAAGGAATTTTTCTTAATTCCCAAACTAAACCTATCCTGGCACAACTTGAGGTCATTTCCTTTTGTCACATCACTAGTTACTTGGGAGAAGAGATCAACCCCCACCTGTCTACAACCTCCTTTCACATAGTTATAGAGGGCAGTTAGGTCTCCCCTGAGCCTCCTTTTCTCTAGGCTAAACAAACCCAGCTCCCTCAGCTGCTCCTCATAAGACTTGTGCTCTGGACCCTTCACCAGCTTTGATGCCCTTCTCTGGAAACACAGGATAATGGTGTTGGAAATGAAAGGTTGAGAAGTTCAGCTGCATTTTCTGTTTGCCTGTTTTTCACTGTATTTTCATATCTTCTAGGTAACAGCGACCAGTCAGGATCTCAGGAGAAACTTCTTATTGAAGGCCAAGGCCTAACCGGATGCTCTCCTCGGGATTCTGGCTGCTACGAAAGCAGTGAAAACCTGGAGAATGGTAATGGTGACAGTGATGAGCCTTATAATTCCTGCAGTCTTTTTTTCTTCAGTAGAGAACTTCATGTACTTCTGCTTCTGTTCCTAGCTAACATAAGCTACTTCATACTTGACTTTCTCCTTTGCTCTGACTGCCTCTTTGCCTCTTGGCTTGAGCCATTGGTTTTCATTGCTACTGTTTCTAATTTTTTCATTTGCATTGGTAGGAAAGAGGTCATATTTCACAACTAACCTTTTGTCTGTGATCCTAAGGCAACAGGCACTCTCAACTGCCATTTCTGTCTTCTCCATTCCCAACCATATTCTCATGCAACCATGCCTCATGAGGTATGCAGTACTTGCACACCAACAGTCCATGTCTAAAGGATTGGCAATGGAAAAGTCTCTGAACTCTACTGGGATTTTAATTATTTCTTCTGAACCCATTAAAAAACTGTAAAGTAAAAACATTCTCTGTTTTAGGCCATATTTTTGTGTTTGCTTAGGTTGCATGTTGCATTCTCCTCTGATCAGAACCCAGCTGCAGAGATTTAGGACTTTTTAGTGCATGAACACTGGAAAGTTAAATTAATAGAGAAGTTGTCAAGGAAATAAACTACAAAAAAAATGCTAGTGATATCAGTTCCCATTGCCTTATCCTGCATCAGTGAAAGAGGATGCACTGAAAAACTACCAAGGTGGATGATAATAGAGATAGCTGTCTCTGTTCTGGAGAAATCAGGTTATTGTGCTGACTGAGTATGCTTTACTTGAGGAATGGTGTGAATTTGTCATTAGGGCTGAAATATTAAAAGAGATTAAATAGGTTTGACTTTGGCATTATCAGTCCAAGCACTTGAGCCACGGTTTGACCTCAGACTGCCTGGTTTCATCACTAACATCCAGCATAAACAGGAAACCAAGAACAGAATAAATAGATACTGTATGCCCCTTTTAGTGGCCATTTTTCCAATTTAAAATATGAGCTAAAGATCGCTCTCTTAATATGTGCATTTTCTGTCAGTCTGCCACTCAAAAATAACCATTTATTGAAGAAAATTGCAGTTTGCTTTGAAGCTGAATGCCTGAAATCGACAGTGTACTAAATTCCTGAAAGCAGGGAAGGTTTTTTTCTTGAATATGGATCCACATCCAGTAGGCATGCTGGAATAGAATCATAGCTAAATATATGGCATATGTGACAATTTTCTTTCCTTTTTATCTCTAAGTGCCATCATAATGATAGCTGTAACACTGAAGTTAAAGTGCTTCCTGCACATTTTCCTTATTTTAACAATATAATAAAACCTTTAGAAAGCAATTGGCATTGTCTGTCTGCTTAGATACTTATATTTAAACTGATATTTCTCTCTGAGTTTTCTAGAACATGAAATGCCATGGATGATTTTATAGTGCTTTTTATGCATGGCTTGCTGCATTTCTGCATCATTTTTGCTCACAAATGCATTTAATGCTTGTTTTGAAAACCATTCTGAAAAGAATATTTGATTTGGGATTCATTCAGAGATTTTGTCAAGGCTGGTTAATCTGAAATGTGCTCCAACGTCTTTGCAAAGTTCATGGACCATAGTTGTTTATATGCATATTGTTTTCAAAATACATTGGGTTCTCATCTGTTAATATAAGGATAACCATTTGTCTGGTATAAACATAATGTACAGATCAGCAATAACAAACTGCACTTCATAAAGGGGAAATGAATTCTGGGAAGAAACCAGTCTTCAGATTTTGTGAGGAATGATTATACATAACATTTTGATGACTAGTATAGTGTCCTTTTGTGGACCTTTTGGTCCATCAGTTCACTATTTCAGAGCTGCTCTTATGTTTTGTCTAGAAAATGGTTTGCTATGTACTACAGCAGTGGTACAGATATAGCTTTTATAGGTACTCCTCTGGGTCCTGCTGCAGAAATGTTTGAGTATTCGCTTAGGTATCCACAGTGTCCTTACAGCAGCTTTGTGGTTTTTTTCAATTCACAGAGAGCAAGCAGCATACAGTTTGTGACCTATCAGTGTTAGACAGGAAGAACCTTAGAGCAGAAAGCAACCATCCATGATCAGATGATAGTTCATATAGAAACAGGGCAGGGAGAGCAAGCTGTCCTTTAGACTTCTGACAATGGTGCAGTTACTGGGCTTGTTTTGTGTGCAGGTGACAACAGCCTGACGTGCATTTGGAAACCATATCGGAAATCTGTTTCTCAAAGGACTGGCCAAAAGCAGATAGCTACAGACAGTATAGGAACAGAACAAACATATCTGATGGTTCCCAGGACACTCTTGGGGAATGAATCATTTAAGGACTTCAAAAATGGGGTACTGTTTCCTGGCATTCGTCCATTTTCCTGAAGCTTTTTGTGAACATCCCTGGTCTTCCTTAGAACCTCCATACCTAACAGTGTCTGTGTGTAGAAATCTGTCATATTCCTATCCAAGTCATCTCTTTCCTAGTCTGGGAAGGCCTATTAATTATTGCCTGCAGGTCATTCATGTCCTGGGTCATGCCTGACTTCTTTCAGCCTTTACTTGTGCTGTACAGCTTTTGTAAGGAGACATGTAGAGAACAGAATTGCACATGCAATGCACAGAGCTGAATAAGCAGACAAACCATGGCGTTACTGAGTGGGATAAGGGTATTCTCTAATTTGTTCATAAACTGAAGCCCAGATTTCCTTAGTGCCAGGCAGGCATCCCAAGCACTTAAGCATTCAGTCCTAATTAGTCAGAAAAGGAAGCAATGGAACAGGTGGCCACATTGCCTAATGTAATGTGCATTTCTGCTAGTTTGTAATCAATAGAAAAAGCAATGAGGCTAGTACTGCCTGTGGTGCCATCATCTTAGTTGTGTCAACAGAGCTGTTTGAAATGCACCCAAAATATAGCCACAGAAAGCAGTGCCAAAATGTAGTTAATAAAATCTGGGATTTGGACAAGCAGCTGAATGCATACTGTGTCTGGTTTTACATACTAAATTTCTGAGGTTTATCTTTCATATGGAAAAAAAGTACAAAGAGAAACACTGAAAATTTGGTGCTGTAGCTATGGTACCTCTAAAAATACTTCCCAAGTTAGTCTCCTTTCTTCCAAGTCCATGATGATGGGGAATTTCAAAGTTGTTTCTCTGTATTCTAATAACAAGATGTATCGTGAGAGGTGGACACGGCTTTGTCTAGCAGAAACTGCACCAGAGCATTAAAGAGCTGAAGTACTGCCTGTAGCTTGAACTGAACCTGGAAAAAATATAAAACTTTTCATTCATTTTGTGCAAGGACCACTTTTGTAATCTTTACCCAGACATCTGTGTCCTGCACACATTTAAATCAGAGATGCTGCTGTGGTTGACAAGCACTGTGAAAAGCATCAGGCTGCTAAACTGTACCAAGGATTTATAAGACTGAGTTATTACCAAAAATTCTAACATAAAAAAATGTATTTTAAGCCTTACTAGCTATACACTGTAACCCTTGTAGGTTGTTTTCTGTTTGTCTTTTTTTTCCTAAAGCAGGGAATGTTACATTTGTAAGCATTATTTGTATAATTCTCTACTTTATGAAAACAACTTCGAAACATATTTGAAAGTCTGTTTTCAGGAAATATTGCCTTCCTTTCTTAATGTCTCAAAAGCTTAATGAAGTTATATTTGTCAGGAGGAGGGAAGAAAAAGGTGGATGAAAAGAAATCACAGCTGACCTGATATTGGTCTTGGCTTAAATCTATATGAAAGAAATTACATTCTCAACCAGTGTCCTTTGTACAAAGCAACAGCATTGAACCCAGCACTAGTTCTTAAACTGGTTTGAAGCAGAGAGCATAAAGATTGCATGTTTGGTTATATATGTTACAGACAAAATGTTTTGAACTTCCTCCCATTCTCACCATGTTTGTCTTTTTATGCATAACAGGGCTGGAATGGACTAAAGATTTGATTTTACTTTCACAATATTTTACTTTTCTCATTTATCTTGTTTTTTAATTCTTCCTTCTGTTGTTCCCCATTTCTTCTTTTTCTGGTCTGGTGCTTTGCACAGACATACCCTGTTTTTAAAGAAATGAAATGCTGCTTACTAGATACCCTTATGGCTTCAGTAAGAGCTTATATTGCACTGTAGTAGCATTTCTCACAGCTTTTCTTTCAGTGCTGAGGTTCCAGAGTGGGTTTGCCTAAAACTGGTGTGACCCTGATCAGTATTTTAGATTGAAAGGAAGGTACATGGATTTTGTTATGTGAGCTGTGACAGCAAGCCCCAGACAATAGGGTGAATTACTGCACAAGTCAGACATGTACCAGCAAATATGAATAATAGAAAGAGAACACTCCTTTCTATGCTCATTACATATTGACGTTAGTGCCTGAAGGCGCTAAAAGATGAATGTCACAGTTCTTAAACATGTCTTTTTAATGTGGTTGCAAGTTATTTTCAGAAGGTGGTGGCCTAGCTCCATGGAAAGGTGCAGACAGAGAGGTCTTTCTGCTGCTTCTCTGAGCTACCTGAACTCAAGGTAGTAGCAAGGGAGCCAACTTCAACGTGGGATGTGTCTCTATTAGCATTTTGGGGAAATGGCAATATTTAGCTTGGGTTGAACTATGAACAATACTGTTTCTGAGAAAGGAGTTCCTGTGTGCTCACATTCATCCTTCCAGGCACACAATAACCTTGCTGGCATACCAGTAAATGCAACCAACATTTCTTGAGGGCAGTGTTTTTCTTATTTCTTAAACGTTTCCTCCATTTTCTTTGCTAGTTTTCTGGATACTGTGTATTTTTAAGCTCCTTGAGCAGATCAAGAGGCAAGAGAAGGCAACCTATTTCTTTTTTAGCTTGAACAGGTTCTTTCATTCATATTCAAAGCAAGCAGTGTATATTATTCAAAAGCAAAGCGCTGAACTTCTTTCAGGATAAAGCTTTGATGGCAAGCTGTATGAGAAGAAAGCATCTGTTGCTTATAAGTACACCAGATTACTTCCAATGTAGTTAGCCAAGCAACTCAGATCTCTAAAAGTCTCATGTCCTTTAATTGGCAGCTGTTATTGCAGACTTTTGATATAATTGAGACAAATCTTTTGGCTTGAGGTTTTGGGGGTGTTTTTCCATTGGAAAAAGAAATTTCAAGCTCTATCTCCCCGTCTATCCTGATTTTACAAGGCTTACTGTACATGTGGGAAAATGTTCCTTTGTCAACCTGAAAAGTGTAACTATTCAGGTTGTGCTGTCATTCTAAGAAGTCGTTTGCTCTGAGGCGAATTTACTTCTGTCTTGTTAAAAAGAAAACTTTTTTAAAAGTCTATATAGTATTTGAGAAATGGCCTTATATTTCAAGTAATGAACTCTAATTGGCTCAGTCCCTTTGATCAGAATTTTGCTGTCAAGTAGAGTTGATGGACTTCGCTGTTTAAAATCGGTGGTGCATGTCTCATAAAAATATAAAATAAAGCTTTCAAAGAACTTGTGGTTGATATTATTCCCTTGTCTTAAGTGTTTATAATAAAACAGGACATCTCTAAGACCTTCCACATTGATTACACTCTATGACATGAGACTAACACTAAGATTAGTCACACTTGAAGCTCCGTTTTGAAAAACACTTCTTCATCTCATAAGATCTTTTCCTATAAAACTGCTGTCCCTATAATTATCTTTACAAAGCAGCTGGTGCATAACTAGTCTTCCAGCACTTTCTTGCTCTCTGGTTTGCCATTTGCAAATAGTTTGCTGCACATTTAAAAGATGAAATAACACTAATGGCACACTTGAAAAATTAACAAACAGGGTAATTTAAAAAAAATCCTGTGCAATCTAGCAAACTTCATTAGAAGATGAACATTATTATTAATATACTAAACAAATTAGAAAAGGAAAAAAAAAATTGTAGGTCTTTTGAGGTTTTTTCATGGGGGATGTCAAACCAGTTCATGCAATGTGTATAGTGTATCAGTTCTAACTATAAGATATTTTTGCGCCAAAAAAGGTTTGTATGAGCTAAACCTCAAATCTCTGTAAATTGGAGAGTAGAGAGTATATTAAGTATTTTGGATACATTTTACTTACATGGTCACTTTTACTAGTTTTTCAATAATGTAGCTGAAGTTCACGAATTTATATGCTTAAAAAGGCACTGAGTTCTTGCACATTTAGAGTTAACAAAAAAAGAGTAAATCATTTAATTTCAAAAGCATTTAGAAAGTGATCCATTATATATGCTGCAGATCTTTCTTTATAGTGGATTTATTTGTTTCCAGGTAAAACTCGAAGAACCTGTCTTCTGCCCTCCAAATCAGCAAGTGAGCATAGCTTCAAGGACTTCAGCAGAAACCAGCTATCAAATTATCCCACGCTTCCCCTGACCAAGTCAATAGAAACTCTACAGCAGGGGAAGAAAGAAGGCCAGTTGAGTTGTGCACACCGTGCTCTGAAGAGCTCTGTCAATCCTCCAGCTGTTCCGGGTCTGAAGAAGAACCGCAGAAGTTTGCCAGTTGCTGTCTGTCGGAGCTATGAAACTCTGGATGGCCCCCAGGGTATAGATACATGGCCAAGATCTCACTCTCTGGATGATCTCCAGGGAGAATCCAATACTAACCTACAGGACAATAGCAAAGAAGTAGGTTCTTTTCCTCAGGATTCACTGGATATAGCAAAAAAGGCAACTGGCTCTGCCCTGCCACCTCAGTCTCACAGAGGCAGCTGTGTGGTAGATCAGTGCATTACTAAGAAGGGTAAAGGAGCTGCTAGTTCTCAGAAGGGAACAGCTGAGGACTTGGACTGCTCTGTAGTGGAGTCTGCAGGTGGAAAGCCTGCTCCATTCCCTCTGAAAAACTGTGAAGCTCAGTCTGCCTTAGTGATGCATCACGCAACAAGGACGCCTCTGGAAATTCAAAGTAAAGGCTTTCATGACCTTGCACGGGCTGATTATGCTCCAGTCCTCAAGGGAGGTCTAGAAGCTGAGCAAAAAGGCACAAATGAGGCAAGAATGCAACCAAAAAATCCTTCTCAGCCGCCACCCGTCCCTGCCAAAAAATGCCGAGAACGCCTTTCTAATGGATTATATCATCCTCCCACGACCACAAGTGGGAGCCATTCAAGTCTAGAAGCACCATGTTTGCCAGCAAAAAAGGCCAGCTCATCCACTCCCATTGATTGTCACGGAGTACCTGTCCATAGGACATCTGAACAGGAGCCCAGTACCCCTCCTAGCCCACTGCCACCCTGGCTGTCGGAGCTCCCAGAGACTGCTAGTGTTCAGCAGCATGTGATAAAGCTAGGTCCTGCTTCAGTGAGGAAAGTCTCTTGTAGCAGGGGAATGGATCTGGAAATGGTAATAGAAAACAAGTTGCAGTCAGAAGACATTGATCTTACTGAAGAACCATACTCGGACAAGGTAAGTGTAGTACATTGCTTCAGTGGTTTTATTCTGACAGCATTCCAAGGAATAGTTTTTCATTTATTGTTCCTGTCATTCTTTTGTGAGTAACCAGCTTAGATAAGCGAACACTCACTGGGACATTAGACATTCTATAACTCTGTCTTTACTACCAGACTTTATGCCTGAAGTAAGTCTTGTGTTGTGGGGATCTGAGCAGTCCCAGATTTGTTCTGAACCAGTCCACTGTTGCCATGGTGGCACTGGGCATGGAAGTGTCTCTTTCTCTGCTAATGTGGGGAAGTAGAACTGAAAAAGGAAGTAATTATTAATGTTTCCAAAGAACTCTTGAGTTGATATTGTCAATTAAGACATCTTTTTGGGAGGAAGGAAGGAGTCCTAAGGTCCGGACCCTCCCTTAGGGATTGCTTTTTCAGTTTTCATAGAACCTCAAGGAAAGCTCCTTCTTGCTTTCATCCTGCACTTTGCTTTTACTGCATTGATTGGTCTCTATTGTTACACTTCTTTAATCTATCCTTTCTCCTTTATGTCTGTCTGGA